ATCCCCTGGGAGCGCTCTGCAGATATTCATATACCATCTTCCACTGCACCATAAAAATCTTAATGATTCTGTTCAGTGAGAAGTCTCCACAGTAACTCGGTGTGTGTCACTCGTGGTCACTTTACAAGTAGAGCCTCACTTCTTTATTAAGTGAGGCTTTACTAAAATATGAATTCTGACAATATTAACACTTCATATAACTGAAACACAAAAAAACTACTTTTACATGCTACTCTCCTGAATGTAGACACACACACACAAACACACAAACACACACACAAACACAAACACACTGGTTGCTGGTGATGCTCCAGACAGGAACTTCCTTTAAAAAAGACCTCAGAAAGTTTAAATGGTATGTTTTCCTTTCAGATTAGTGTAACATGGGATGTAAAATGTGGACTGAAGAAAGGATGAAGAAATAGTGGGTCAATTCTCCCCAGCTCTGGTCATAGTTTATGTTTCCTGCAGAAGGGTCTCTGCAGCAGCTGAGAATTAGAAGCTGCAATGAAAATCCACTCATTGAAGGCTCAACGGACAGAAGGGGAGGGAGACCTCAGTATATACCTCCCCAGACATACCCTCTGCATCTTTGCCTGATACAGCTGGAATCACAGGTACATCAAGAGCTCACATATACCCCTATCAGATCTTAACTTCCATATGTCTCTCTTCCCCTTGGACCACTAAAATCAGGAAGAGAAAAGGGAGAAAAGCAGAATTTTCCATCTCTCTGGAAATGGTATATTACACAGACCCTACTTCTAACACCCACACTCCCCTTACCAAAATTAAATGAGTGGTTAGAATAATATGATACTACATGCAGAAGAACTTTAAGCCAATCCCTAATAATCTGAATGTATCCTGGATTTCCTCCAGATGATAGAACTCTCCAGGGCCATCTATGGGGTTAGCTCCTAGGAGGGAAACCGCTCACCAATCCATAAATAGCTTTTGCCAAGTCCTTGAAAGTCTTGGACCTGGTCTCTTAACTATCTGTGTCTCCCAAAGGAATGGGAGCCTCTTGAGAGTGGTAAAAGCTTCAACTTACTCCCAGTGTAGCTCCTACCAATTAGCTTATATCTCAATATTTTATTGGCCAGAGTTATGTTCTAGATACTTTAATCAACAGGGATCACAGTGAAATTTTGTTAATCAAACTCTGGAATAGAATAAATTCTATTCCAGCACATGGCACCATTTGCTAACTCTATATAGTACTGCTATGTATTCATACTTTTTTTTTTCATTCCAAGGATTCCCGGGTCAAATAAGTTTGGGAAATCCCCTACCAATCTGAATTGTCTGTAGTCCACATTAACATATCAGTTTGGGGCAGTCAGTCCTACTATAAATAAATCTGATTAACTTTGTAAAATATAAGATTTTCAGTGTTATCTGGCTTTAGACAAAGCTTGGAAGACTGTTGTCTGCAGCAACTAGAACTACAACCACAGGAGGTACTCAATATATGTGGAATGAATATATATTCTGAAAAGTTAGAGGATTTTTCCTTTGCTCTTTTCACTGCCACCACTGCAGTGTTGACTGGCAGTCAGCTGGAATATGGTATGCATGCCTGCAGTGTGTTCTCAAGAAGGTACGGGAAGGTAGACAGCATAAAACAGGGAGTGAAGGGTTCAGGTAAATAGTTGCTAAGAAAAAAATAATTTAAAAGTTCAAATTGCTGTCTAAGTATATATTACAAGAAATATAAATTTTTGACAACTTGTATTTGTATCTATTAGGTATTTACATCTGTCAGCTATTATTAGCATGACAGTGATTATCTAAATAGTATTTTTATTTTCAAAATGCAGCAGAATTAGATGTTAAATATAGAATCTGGGTGGTAGATAACTGGGTGTTCATAATAAAATTTATTTGATTATTTTGCATGTTTAAAAATGCTTATATTTAAATATTAGAAAGATTTAAGTCCCTATGACTCGTCTATTTTGAAATACAATATAACATTATACAGTTTTTTATGTTCTTTTTTTCAAGTTGAAATAAGTTTTATCCATTTAAGTAATTTTTAAAGCACTTTGATCTAGAAAGCAGGACTACACTTGGATGCTAATGAACCAGAATCAGCCACAGGAAATGACTTTGTACAAATGGTTGCAAAAATGTTGACAAGACAGAGGTAGAGTTTAATCACATATGCCCAGCATGTTAATGCTAACTTTTTACAGGGTTGTTATTATGTCCTTTTCACTGATGGGCAAAGGGGGATATAACAACTTCTCTAAAGCTGAGGGGCAATTCAATGGCACAGCTGGGATCCTGTGCACCCTTCTTAAATCATGAGGGGCAAATGTTCTCTACTCCTCAAGAGGGAAATTCATCTACAAGTAAAAATGGATACATCACTTAAAGATTTTTGTTTAAATGAGAGGGATTATATAATTAAAATGTGTGTAAATGAGATGCTATCATGACTTCTTTGATCTATACTTGCAAACAATTCTTCATCCTAAAGCTGATTACCCTGTCAGGATGCACATATGTTTTAAACAAACAGTGCTTCTCCTTTTTTAATCTTACTGATTGTTGACTTTAATTTTGGCAACAAATTAATTTTAATCATAAGTCTCTGGAATAATGTCATTGTAATACATTTAAAATTGCAAGAAACAGTAATATTCCTTTAAGTAGAGAGTTGCAAACTATGAGTGCTTAGTTATTTACGGTATCTTTTTACAAACTGAGACTTTTTTCAGTACACATAAATGAGAACTATAAAATGCTTCTTACATAATCAACATGTATTACTATTAGAACCCGAGGAGAATCCTTAATGCACAAAATCCACTTGTCTTGTGGAGCAAATCCAGTCTTAGATGTCAAGGAGACTGTCTGAACTGTGCGTCTGTATGTCTGTATGTATATGAGTGCGCCAGCGCGCACTCATGCATGTGTGTGTGTGTGTGTGTGTGCCCGTAGAACGTAACAATTTCACACTTTTAGTAAAAGGTCTGAGTATCTTAATCTTGTCTGGACATTTTGGCCTCTGGGTTTTCCATACTAACACTATCTTGTCTAGCAGTCATAAAAATGACTGAATTTAGGCCACTGTTTTTGAAATATTTGCGACAAAAATGTTTATAAACATTTTTATTTTATATGAATTCACATATGGGTCTTTTGTTTAAGATTTGAGCCAAACCCACTAGTAGTTGTAGACTTGTCCTTGGGGAGTGAGACTCTACTGGAGTCACTAGTTCACAAGATATTTTCTTATTACTTACGTACCTATTCTATAGTCCTTTTTAGAAATTTTTTGGTCTCATTTAAAAATGTCATTTCCATTCCCAATCACAAAGTTTTATATGTGTTCATTTCAAAGATATGGGAAAAATAGAAACCATAAAGAAAAACAATAACCAGTAATAAATACTACCATCAGGCTGGCATGACATTTCCCTCACCATTAAAATCCAATGGATTTCTCAGCTCCAATACAAACTTCTTTTTTTTTTTTTTGGCCCAAGTGCAAATAAAATAGAATAGAATTTAATATATTTGATCCCTAAATAAGGAAAAGTGTTTTCATATACTTCCCATGTATTTCTAAGCATATGCAGATTGCTAGGATGCTACACATCAATATATCACCGAGAAAATATTTATTTTTACAAAATTTCCCTTGTGTTTTTTAGTAGGAAAGGCCATTCGAGTTAGATAAGAATAAGGTTATCTTCTTTTACCCTTATCTCCATTCTCCCACCTTCATAATTTTTAACAGTGTGGACCTATACATTTTTTTATACAGTTCTCTTAAAATATATCAAAGAAGTACTGCTGTAAAATGCTTCTTTGTAATAATAGAAGTTCATATTTAAAGGATCAAAATGTTGCACTCTCTGAAATTTAAATCAGAGCTAATTTTTCCATCCATAATAAAAATTAGTATTAGGTATTCAAGAACATACTTATTTTTAGTTGTTATAAAAAAATAAAAACACAGGTGAAGCGAATCTGTTAGCAAATGAGTTACTTATTCTCTTTCTTTTATAAATGTTCAAGTTTCTTTTTGAATCACATCAATGCACAAGGATGCCATACCTAGTTTCTCAGAAATCCTATAAGACAGAGAGCCACAGAAGCATAGGAGATCTGTGAGCACCTGAATGATGAAGACAGATGACTCTAGGGAAAAGGACAATGTTGCTATCCTGCTCATTCATGTCTGGCCACATGTCTGGAGATTTCAAAGAATACTAATTAGGGCAAAGGAAAAGGTAACCATTTGTTTATAAAACAGAAAAATCATACTACTCATGCACATAACCCTGGTAACCAAAACCCAAATGTAACTTGTGTAGGAATCCCAAGAGTGAACCTGAAGAATTTCCCTTTAAGTATATCTATTATTCAGCAGTAGTATCATTGAGCATCTCTATTTGATGGACAAGGATCATTGGTGGTAACAAGAAGTGTGCAGAGACACAGCCAGACTCCTCAGCAGCAGAAACCAAAGTTCCATAAGACAATTACTCTCACAGGGATTTCAAAGAATAATGTAGATCTAAAGGTCTTGGATTATAAAAATTGAGATTGATTATTATTTTTTAAAAATATGAGAACAAATATTTTATATCCAAAAAATTCTTTCATGGTAGGTTTTGTGTGTATTGGATAGGAAAGACAGAAGGTGAAACAATGTGGGTAGGGATCAAAGCTTTAGAAAGAAGAAAAAACAACACTGTAACATTTTTTCCCATCTGTCTAACCATCCATCATCCAAAGTACTACCAGCTCCTTTGTTTTAACTAATTAAAATAAGAATTTTGAAAGATTTCCTCATTCAAATAGCATTCAGTGTAAGCACTCCTGAACTAACAAGCCTTCAATTGAAAATATGAGTTTAAACATAAATGCATTAGCAAAAGTCTGTATGCCACCACCTAGAGCTCATGCTTTTTCACCACATGCCTTTAAAACATCAACCCATATGGGTCTTTGTAAGAATGTAATGAGTCAGTTCCTACCTCTACATAGTCCTTGGCGTGGCCCCAATCTCGTTTGGCATCCAGATTTCCCAAACTGAAACATTCCAGTTGTCCAAGGTAAATCTTAGCTACTGACCGGCTAATTTTTCGAGTAACAAAATTAGCTCCTAAAAAGAGACAAAAGATGTATTATCAGTGAAGTACATTTGACATGTAACAGTTTAGTGAACCAAACACAGCATCAGCCTTTGGGCATTTCTTTCAATCCCCCACCCCCAACCCCCACCCCACTTAAAATAATAAAAGAAAAAGAAAAAAGATCACTAACTGTCATTTAGACAAGTTAAGAAGGTCTAATTCTAAGTGTCACATCATCTCTACTTTCATAACAAACATTTTTTCTTTAGGGGACGTCTTAACATTCCTAATTTGCTGCTTCAATATGCAAGCCAGGCATTAGGCCAAAGAAAAGCTATTGGAATGCCAGTTTTTAAACAAAAAATTCTAAAGGGTTGTATAAAGGGAAATGCCAGAATGGAAGACAGACATCTAAGACCACCCTGATTTTTTTTTTTAAGAACACAAACATCATATATTCCTATTAATAAGGCTATTTTGGGGCCCATGGGAAGAGGGGGGAAATAACTTAGTTCACAGAGTGTAACTAGTGAAAGGAAACCAAAAAGAAAATTTATTTGGGCTGCCTTTCTCTTAACAAAATAAGTGGTGATCACTCTTATTCAGAAACCTGCAGCCACACAAATATCAAGAATGACATGATTCCAAGTCAAAAATTTCTCTACACCATACTTAGTGCAATGCCATTTTCCAACTTCATGTAAATGTTATCTACAGAAATGGCCTCCTGAGTTTTGTAGAAATGTTTTTAAATGATTGGATGAAAGGTAGTATAAACTGAAGAAAAAAACAAATTATTTTAATGTTCTCTGGTTTTTTAATGAAAATCTCTATTTACTTTTAGTTTGTTTTATTCTTTTTCTCACTTTTTTCTCTTAAGAGATAGGGTCTTACTTTATTCCCTAGGCTGGTCTCCTGCCTCAAACTCCTGAGTAGCAGGAACTACAGACACACCTTCATGCCCGGCTTCTATCTCCTTTTAAGAAATTACAAAGAAGGATAAAATTAAAAGGCTCCACTAAGACAATTTTATCTGCACCTCTGTATTTAGGTAACATTACCAGAGAACACCATTTCATGCCAGATTCTCAAGATAATAATACACATGTGCGCTACTATGGCTTCATATGGTTCAGACACATTGATATCATAACTTATCACATATCAGTAGCTTTACCTTTGTTCTTCTTTGAATGAAGAAGGGAAGCAAATATGATGAAAGGTTTTGGCTTCTATTAAAACTGGCAGAGGAATAAGGGGAATATTTCTAAGTAGGTTTTCTAAATTTTGGCAAGAATGTGGGCTATCACAGGTTCAAACACATACTAAACTCATTCCACCAACTTGATATATATATTTATACAAATATCATTAAAGAAACCAATTGTACTGCTGTGGGAATTCAAATATTCAACTCACAAGGCACGTCAAAAAACTGGAGTTTAAACTGTCCATAGAAAAGTTTGTAAAACATACAGAGGCCCTTCAGGAAAAAGTCTTTCGAAATGAAGATATATTTTGGGATCACAAGTTCAAAGCCAGCCTTAGCAACTTGCAAGGCACTAAGTAACTTAGTGAAACTTTTTTCCAAAAAGGAGGGGGTGGAGGCGATGTAGAATGTAGGGAATAACCTGTGATCAACATCTTGATTGGACATGGGACTGCATGGATATCTTGTGGACACTGGGTGTCTTACCCAGAATTAGGCTAGAGCATAACTTCCTCTTATTAGTGATGTAGATTGGGGATGTAGATTAGTGCCCCTGGGTTCAATTCCCAGTACCCAAAGTGGGTTAAAAAAGGATATATTTATTGGCTACAATTCCTCTAAGTATATTACTAATTAGTAAACTTTCCATTAACTTTTAAAAATTAACTTTATAATTGAATTTACATATTTTGATGTCTGTTTTTACTTTAATGTCAGGACTGAACTATCATTCTAAAGTATGCCAGGTAAACCAGTGATGCCAAATTATTAGACCAGCATAAACAGTTCAGATTTTTCTAGTTAACAGGAAAGCAATGCTTAGGAGTCTAATGGAAACATTTGATCTTGTTTTATTAATTTATTCTTTCAGCCAGTATTACCTGAGTACTACATGGCACAAGCTGAGCATTTGAAAGAGAAAAGGCAGCCCCTGCTATTAGGCAGCACAGAGGAGAAGATGGACCAATAAACCCAGGCTGACCTATTTATAGATTTGTCTATTGGGATACTTCATATAAATGGAATTATATAATACCTGGTCTTCTGGGACTAGAATCTTTCACTTTGTGTGGAGTTTTTCAGGGTTCATCCATGTTATAGCTTCAATTGGTACATCATTCTGAGATCAGGAGGTAGAGAAAAGGCCAGGCAGTCAGAGAAATGGGCACCTGGAGAGGCCTTCCATGATCAGCAGAACACAAACTGTTGCTAAGGAGTTTGTGAATATCTTACCTAAAAAAGGCATGCATGCTATGGAGCCCACAGCCTCTCCAAAAAAGGGAATAACCTGTGATCAACATCTTGATTGGACATGGGACTGCATGGATATCTTGTGGACACTGGGTGTCTTACCCAGAATTAGGCTAGAGCATGACTTCCTCTTATTATAACCAATGAGTATAAAATGTTATCCCTAGCAGACATTTATAAACTCCTCAACAGGACTGGCCCACTAGCAACCCTCTTGGTACCCCTCCCAAGGGGGTTATTTTGTTTTGCTTCAATAAATTCCTAGACTTTGCTTTCACCTTCTGTTGTCCATGAATCTCATTCTTCAGGTTTCTACCAGATGCCATGCTCCATGTTACAATTCCTTTTTTTATAGCAAAATAATATCCTCTTATATGGAAAAACGCATTTTATTTACCAACATATCAGCCGAAGACCTGGTTGTTTTCATCTTTCCACTGATGAAAAATGCTTCTATGAACATTTGAATACAAGTACTTGTGTGGACACATTTTAATTTCTTTGAGGTATATAGGGGTGGAATTACTGGGTCACATAGCGAGTCTCTATTTAACCTACTAAGCAACTGTAAACTATATTCCAAAGTAGATGGAGCACTTCATATTCCCACCAGCAGAGCAATAGGGTAGTGATTTCTCTAATTCCTCTCCAGCATGTAAGGTCTTTTCTATCACATCCACCCTAGTGGGTACTTAGTGGTATTTCATGTGGTTTTGATTCACATTTCTCTGATCACTAATGACATCAAGCAACTATCTTTTCATACGCTTACTGGACATTTGTACATTTTCTTTGGGGAAATGTCTACTCAGATCGTTTGCCTACTTTTTTTTCTAAACAGGGTTGTCTTAAGTCTTTTAAGAGTTTTTACATACGCCAGATCCAAGTCTCTTATCAAACATAATTCCCCAATATTTGCTCTCATTCTGCAGTTGTCTTTTCACTTTCTTAACAATGCCCTTCCGAACACGAAAAGAGTTTTAATTTTGATAAAGCCCAATTGGCCTATTTTGGTTTTGTTACATGTGTTCTTGGTGTCATACTCACAGCTTTGTCTAATCTAAGGTCATGCAGATTTACTCCTGTATTTTCTTATAAAAATTTTATAGCTTTTGTTCTTACATCTGGGTCTTTGATCCATTTTTAGTTAATTTTTGTACACTGTGATGAAAGGGTCCAGCTTATACATTTGCATGTAGAAATCCAGCTGACCTGGGACTATGTGTTGAAAAGGTTACTTTTTCATCACAGAATTTTCTTGGCACTTTTGTGAAGAATCAGTCATAAATGTGAATGCTTATTTCAACTCTAGTTCATTAATCTCTATATTCATCCTTATTCAGAGTCTTTACTATTGTAGTTTTCTGGTAAATTTTAAAATCAGAAAGTATGAATTTTCCAACTTATTTATTTATTTATTTATTTAGGTGCTGGGGATTGAACCCATGGCCTTGTGCGGGCAAGGCATGCACTCTACCAACTGAGCTATATCCCCAGGACCCCAACTTTCAACTTTTTAAAGATTATCTTGGCTATTCTCACTCAATGAATTTCCAAATAAATCTTAGGATCAGCCTTTTGATTTCTGCCAAAATGCCAACTGAGATTTTGATAAGGATTTTAGTAAGTCAATATTTTGGAGAGTGTTTCCATTCTTATGCCATCCAGTCCATGAAGCAGGACTTTGTAAATGTCTCTCAACAATGTTTAATAGTGTCCAAAGAAAAAATTTTGTACTTTTTTTTTTGAGGGGAGATATTAGGGATTGAACTCAAGGGCACTCAACCACTGAGCCACATCTCCAGCCCTATTTTGTATTTTATTTAGAGACACGGTCTCACTGAGTTGCTTATTGCCTCACCTTTGCTGGGGCTGGCTTTGAACTTGTGATCCTATTGTCTCAGCCTCCCTAGCCGCTGGAATTACAGGCATTCACCACCATACCCGGCTGTACTTCTTTTGTTTAATTTGATCCTTAATACTTTATTTGTTTTAATATTATAGCAAATAAAGTAGTTTTCTTAACTTCAGTTTTAGATTAATTTTAAATAATATTTTTGCAATCATATGTTTCACCAATTAATTCTTAGATGAGGCTTAAAAATCTACTCTCCTTAGGGTAGAAGATGGGAACCTGGGAGATAGAGGAGGGAAGGGAAAGGGGAAAGACTTGGTGAATGAAATTGACCAAATTATGTTGTATGCATGTATGAATATCTAACAACAAACCCCACTAATATGTATCATTGTAATGAAGCAATAATTTTTTTTTTAAATCTCCTCGTTTTTTATTACTTATCACACAGGACCGATGTTTTTAGAAGAGAACTATATCAAGTCACAGAACATGAGGGCTGAGACCTCAGAGTTCACTTTTCCCAACCATCCCAAATATGCAAATGAAGACGGAAAGGCAGGACAAGTATCAGCACATGTTCTGAGTCTGTCTCCAGCCCTGTGCTGCTTTCAATGACCCACAGAGAAAAGCAGGATGTACCCCCTTCCTGTGAGATGGCTCCAGTAGTTGTAAATTATCACATATGTGGATAATGAAGCCACTGTACTTAT